CTTTTTTTTTTTTTTTTTTTTTGTTCTCTTCCTTCTTCCCCCCCTGCCCACCCTCCTTCCTATAGGCCGTTAGTTAGAAGGAGCATCTTGCAGGAGGGCCCTGATCAGCTAGATGCTGCCTGATCATTCATGTTCCTTATACTGCCAGACTGTATGTTCTGATCCAACAGCATGTATAGGGCTGCAGTCCTTCCAGATCAGTATTACAACTCTCTAGCATTTCATTCTTCTGCGATGCTTCCTCAAGTGAGGTTTGGCAGGAATTGACTTGCTCTGAGGTCTAGGTGCCAGTTAAGGTCCAGGTCTCCAAACAAAGCTTTTGGTAATACATGCTTGCCCTTATTTACTGCCACTACCTCAGAAGTGAATGATAATGGCTTCTCCATTTCATGTCTTTAGAACTGATCACCTTCAAACAGAAGAGAATAGCAGCCTTCCGTAAAAACCTAATTGAAATGACAGAACTGGAAATAAAGCATGCAAAGGTATGTGATCTCTTGAAGTGAATTACTATAGCACAGTTACAGTGGAGTATACTTCTAGCTAGCACCATTGTGATGGGAGGACTTGCTTTCCCTTTTTGAAGCTAGGAAACTAAATGCTCAGTCAAAAAGTTAAGCTTTCCACTATTCTGCTTTGGTAAGGAAATCAGACTCTCAAGGTATGCTAGCAGCATGTGGCATTTTATTTTTGTTTCTGTATTAACTGGAAAAGTCCATTGGGGTAATTGGTAGCTTTGGTTAGAGTTTAAATGGAGTGCACAACCCAAAGCTTATACCTCACAGCTGTCTAGCTAAGCTTGTTGGCTCACTTTAGTATTAGTAGTAGTATGTTTGGGTTTTTTTGTTTTGTTTTTTTTCCTCCCTGACAATGAGGGAGATATTGCATACTTTGTGCAATATCCTCCATATATAGGAGGACATACTTGAAGGTTGTACAGCCCTTATTCATATTGGCACTTTCTGCTTGCCTTCTGCAACAGTAACATCTTTTTAGCTTTGATATGCATGTTTTACTATCACAAATCCCATATTGAAAATGAACCTCAGTGTCTACAAACATAAAAATACTAATACTTATGGGGTTTGGGATAAGTGCATGTACATGTGCTTTAACACTGAATTTGTTGTCTTCTATTCCAGAACAATGTCTCTCTCCTGCAAAGTTGCATTGACTTGTTCAAGAACAACTAAGACACCTTATTCTGCAAATGTGAAAAAGCATCAATTGCACTCAGTGGCCATGGGGAAATTCATATTTAGCTTAACTCCTTTAGGTTCCAATATTTGGTCTTCTGGACACTTGACTAATAATTAACCATGTTGATTGACACCAACGTTGGCTTCCATGGTATAAATGAAAGCTGGATTGCATATGGATTACTTGGATGTAGCTAACCTCCTGTTGAGGTACTTGCACTTAAAGTGAGTGCCAAGGACAAGAACTAGAGTCCAAAATGTTGATCATGTGTCCATCTGATAATGGAGATAATTTTGATTTCTCCCCCCTCACAAAGGGTGAAAATTCTGTCAGTATATTGGAGCTGTCTGCAGAATGTCAAAAGTGGGAATGGCTTATGTAAAAATTCCCAAGTAGTTTTATAAATTAATATCCTAACATTCCACTTGGGCAGATTTCTACTACAATATATTTTGGATTTCTATAACTACATTCATATTTGTACAGTTGGGTGATACAGCAAAATAAAGATGTCTGATATGGTTGTGCATCATTCTGTAGGCAAAGTAAAGGTCTATCTATGGACAGGGGATACACGCTTTGAAGATGCTTCAATCTGTGTTTTCTGATGACTTTGTCAATGGAGGAAGACATTTTGCAATATGTAAGCTGCTGCATTGTTTCACTTCTGTTGAAGTGGAACACAATTCATGTCAATCCTACTTCTTGTGATTTTTTTTTTTTTTTTTTTTTTTTTTTTTTTTCCCCTGCGAACTAGCTTTTGTTAAATCCTGCACACCAAATCCAGTGAACAAACCTTGAGGAAACTTTCAACTTTTCAAACTATAGTGTCTGAGATTTGAGGAGGCAAGTCTACCTAATATGACTTAAAAACAAAAATTTCCATCCCTGCACATCCCTATTTTATTTTGTTTTGAAACCTGTACATTTCATGAAGGTGGCCTACATGAGCTTTTAAATGCAGTGGTGGCCAGCATTTGGCAGATCAGGGAAGGAGGGCAGCACTGTGGTAAGTAAGGTATCAAGCAGAAGGCACACCAGCAGATCAGGCAGGGCAAGAGGGTTGGCACAGTACTTGACTGCAGTGTGACAAGGAGTGCTTAATTTTGTGGCACGCTGGCCAAAAAGACCGGTCTCTACTGCCTTAATGCAGTACTTCTAAAATGACTGACTTCAAAGTGGGTGGCCAAGCTAGTAGGCAGACTGATTTTATTTATTTTTTTTTAAATGGGGTATGCTTGTTGTTTCTTTAGAGCTGACTTCCATGTGCCACCGTGTACCCCCCCGGGCGGTCTAGTACCTGGCCAACACTAACTCCTGTCTTTCCACTGAAAAGCATGGAACAAATTGGCTCTACAGCCTAGTGACAGAGCTGGGATTAGAATCTGGCTCTAACTAGCAGCCTACACAAGCTCGTTAAAGCTATTGCTTTAACTTGGGGGCAGGCAATTATTTCAGGTGGAGGACTGCATACTGAGTTTTTTTTTGGCAAGCCATCAAGGGCTGCATGACAGGCAGCCAGGGGCAGATAAATATTAATTTTCTAAATTTTTTAGGAGCCCTGCAGGTCAGATAGAATGGCCTGGCAGGTTACATTCTGCCTGCTCCTACTTTAACTGGTCACCATCTGATGCATCTTTTCATGCTCGTGCTGTAGGTAGACATAGGAAGTAGTTTACTAGCTCTAACAAATGCCAGCTCTTACTAGCAATTTTATCAGTCTGGTTTAGTCCTGGAGTAGCCTTTCTGAATATGACTTTGAACTGTGTCCCTTCCCCCCAAAAGAGGAGGGGATGCAGGGGAAGGGAGTCATGGGTTCTGCATTCTTGGAAGGTGCTATCCTGAGAGTATGATCTGTAGTGGCTGAGGATTATTTCTTGAGCCATTTGAAAAATGATGGCTGAATAAACTGCCCAAAACTGTAAACCTACTTACTTGTTCCTTTCCCAGATCCAAGTACTAGTAGAGACACCTAGTCTTAATATTTCTAAGCAAAGGTCTGTGTCTGTTTTTTTTTTTGAGTGGGATCTTCTTCCTAGAGATCACTGCTTTTTCACTGGTGGAAGCTGTACCACCTTTATACCAGTAGAGTGCATGATATTTTCAGTAATCAAAACCAGACTATCCTAGTTGGAGTGAATGGTCTAGTGGAGAACAAGAATGCCACTGTTTCACATTTCTCCGAGTCCTCTAGGTGGCAGGCTTGGACAACAGTTTGCATCTGACCCCTAACCATGCATGTGGCACAGACTCTGTAGAGGACTTTCAAGTATTTGCCACTGTTTAAAGCAGCTGCTAAAACTTTTTGTGTGCTTTGTTTTCTTTTGCATGTGGGGGTCATTGTTGTTGTTTGTTTTTTAAATGGTGACAAGTCCTGCTTTCATGCAGTATGCCAAGAAACTTGAGAACATCAAACAGTGGCAGATAATAGTTCCTGAGCAAAGCAATCTAGAGTGACCACCAGCATCTGGGGGAACATTTGTTCACCAGAGCGCCCCAAGGGATGACGAGGTCGAATGGTCACAAACTACTTCAAGATCGTTTCAGGCTGGGCATAAGGAAGAACTTCTTTACTGTCCGAGCCCCCAAGGTCTGGAACAGCCTGCCACCGGAGGTGGTTCAAGCGCCTTCATTGAACACCTTCAAGATGAAACTGGATGCTTATCTTGCTGGGATCCTATGACCCCAGCTGACTTCCTGCCCTTTGGGCGGGGGGCTGGACTCGATCTTCCGAGGTCCCTTCCAGCCCTGATGTCTATGAAAATCTGTCCATCAAACTTGTTGGCAGTTGAGGTGGTAACAACAATCATTCTTGACTCTGGGGTTTTTTGTTTTTGTTAAATTAACTTCTGTTTTTCTTGTAGCTGAGCCCTAAATAAATCTTTTTAGCAAAGTAAATGGACCACAACAGGCACAAAGTTCTGTGACAACAGAAGACATAACTTTTATTTATAAAAAAAAAAAAAAAAAAAAAAAAAAGTTGGGTTTTTTTAACCCAAATTAATTTTAAAGTTGTTTCAAGGATAGTCTGTGTGAAACTAACTCTTACATGTGTCCCAAGTTGGGAGGGCTTGGCCCTTCTTTTAAATAAGGCCCTGTTTTGGCTGGATCAAGGCTCTTAACCTCCCTATTTACCTGTTTAGACTTTTTGTAAAGTCTCCTTACTCTCATAATGGAGCATGTTGCCTATCTACTTGTGAACCTGCTGGATGCATCTTCCATTCAGCATAACTTTGCTATCCATGAAGTGCCCCAGGTGCTGAAAGCACTTAAGGAGGCAAAACACAAGTTCTGTGCTACAGGATGGAAGCATGTAACCCCACTAGCCAGAATTTAAACTGATTTCTGGGCTGGGGCAAGAGCTGCTAATTGCCAATATGGAACAGGCTGTGGTCTGGTGATTTGTACTTGTTATCTATGATCACTAATCTCAAAACGGGAGCAGAACCTGCTAGTTTGCCCAGACCCTTGCATGAGATTATCTGTATAGGGGATTTGACTACCTTATGGTGGGGGGGAATAGGTTTAAATCTGCAAGCACTGTGAAAGACTAACTTCTCTCTAGTTTATGTTGAAAATAAAATGTAAGGACAGCAAACCTGACAGGCAATGAAAGGTCCCTCTATCTGTTAATGGGCCTGCTGTCAGTACAGCTAGTTACAACCCTACAGAGCACCCTTGCAAAATTATGGTATTTTGCAAAAGTTTTTTTTCTAAATTTGAATGAGATCTCCCACAGAGAAGAAACTCCAGTGTTCCTAACCGAAGTAGAGCAGATGGCTGGCTCTGCTCCCCTCTAGGCTTCTTGTGCTGCCTCAACTTCCAGGGGCTGTTCAACTCCTGGAGCTTCCCTGCTCTGCTCCTCAGGATGTCCTAGGCCCACGGTCTGTCCTTGAAAAACCTGGGAATATTGGTCCCCTGCTAGAGGTGGTGATTCCCAGGGCCTCAAGTCTCCCAGCCCTGTGACGGAACCAGAAAACCCCAAGGTCCTCAAATCCAAAACAAGGCTTCCCTAAATGCCTAGCCTCTCCAGCAGCCCACCGCATGAGTTGGCAAGAACCCAGGTTGCCTTTCATTGCAACCCTACCTCAACAGCATGTAAAAGACTTCCACAAATAAGCTTTTAGCTTTTGAGGAAAAGCTGTTAATCGAAAACTTCCCCATTGGCTCTGATCTGAGAGGAACAGGTGGTTGGCAATCTGCTTCCTCTTAAAGGTCCAGGCCACCAGGTGTTGGAAATAGGAGCAGCTTCCCTAATAACCAGTGCAGCTATGGAGATTTACTGTGTAGGTGCGAGACACACGTGCGCGCCCAAAGGATTTTCAGAGCTAGAATCTCCTTTAGAGTAAAAGATGGAAATGAATGAAGTAGGTGAGGTAATAGGTGACACCACTTCAAAATTGTTCCTACCATGGCCAGGATTACTGGCACTGTCTCCCTTTTCAGTAAATGTAAGGTTGTTGCTATGGAGGACAGGAAATCCTTAGTCTGTGCTGAGTAAGAAAACATTGGGATCTCTCATACTGTAAAGCTTCTACAACCACCTTTGTACTGAGAGAGGTGTCTGCCTGGGGTGTTTTCCTACAGTCTAATTTGTCTGCTACCTTTCTTCCCCTTATTTTTCTCTGTTTTTAATGCATTTGTTTCATGCCAAAGGGGAGCAGACAAAGGAAATGAAGCAGTTTGCTCCAAGGACCGTAGCAACATGCTATACAGCAGGGGGAGGCTTACCTAGGAATTACAAGTAGCATATAATTTTGGTATATCTGTTTATGTTGTCCAATGCCTTTCCAGCTAGTGTGCTACTCTCTGTGCCCTGAGTTGTTCTTGCTGGTTTTCCCATGCCACTCCTTTTGGAGGGGAAGACCAGAGCCCCTTTCTTAATCTCGTATCTATGCAGATACTCCTCCACTTGTTTATCTTTGGGAGGGTGCTTATTCCTTTTCTGGGTGTGCCAGGGGGAGCTGGCCCAACCAACCGACTCCAATACAGGGTGCTTGAGGGCAGGTTATCTTACCGGCAGTTGTGTAAAATGGCTGATGCAACTCAATGTGGCATAATCCTAGTTTAAACCAAGTCCTGTACTATTGTTTTTCATGCAGAGATGATGAGAGCCAGATTCTCATCTGGTGTGGCCTGGTGCAGCTCTAGGGAAGCCAGGCTGCTTGACACCTGTTGTGGACCTGGCCTTGCACATTTACCCAGTTCATGATGTCAGTCCTGAGTCCATAAACAATGACTCAGTTCACATCTTCCTTTGGACAACATTCCTTCTAACCAGCCCAACCTTTGATATTTATTTGCCACACCCTCACTCTCTCTCATGCTGCTTGGTTTTTGCAGTGATACTTGATGTTCTTCATCTTGATACAACTGCTGTGAGCTAAGGGGTAGAACAGGGGCAGGCAATTATTTTGCGTGGAGGGCTGCTTACCCAGTTTCGGCAGGTTGTCAAGGGCCGTGTGGGTAGCCCCACCCCTTGATGGGTGTGCTGCCCCTTGGTCACCATCTTGGGACCAGTGTCCCAGGGCCAGCACCAGTGGGGCCTGAAGTGGGGCACAGGCTGGCAGGGGTCTGTGGATCCAGGCTGGGCTGTACCAGCTGGGAGAGAGGGGGAGCTGGCCCAGCTCCATAGAGCCTCTGCTGGCTGGGACCCTGCACTCCTGCCACCCTGCTCTGGGCCTTGCCAGCACTGGACCCAGGGCACCAGTGAGCGCTCCTGCTGGCTCCCCGCCCACTCGCTCCCAGTGCCCCCCAGCCCTTACCTGCAGAGAAGAAGCTGGTGCTGAGTGCGTGGAAAAGCAGCCCCTTGCCTGCTCCCTGCTGCAGGCGCCTGCGGCCCACACAGGGCTGTCTGGAGCAGGCACAGGCAGCCCCACGTGGGCTGCAAGCAGCTGCAGCCTGGGGTGCTGGCCATGGGGTGAGCAAGGGGCCATTTTCCCTGTGCTCAGCACTAGCTTGTAACCCAACCCCGCTACCAGCCTGGGCTCCGAGCTGGCTCCGGGCTCACCTGTCAGCATCAGCAGCTGCAGCCCCCCTGCTTGCTGTGCTGGGCAGTGTTTGCTGCTGCCTGCCTGGAGCTCGCATGTGGGGTGGCCCAGAGGCGGCGGTGGCAAACACTGCCCGCTGCAGCAAGCAGGGGCAGGGGGGAGGCCGCAGCGGCTGTGACCATGCAAAGCCCTGACTGGTGAACCAGTGCGGGGCCCAGGCTGGCAGTGGGGCCAGGTTACAAGGTGGTGCTGAGCACGGGGGGGGGAGTGCCCCCCTCCTGCCTGGCGCCCCCCACTACAGCTGCTTGCAGCCCCCCAGTGGCTGCCTGTGCCTGCTCCGGACAGTCCCGCGTGGCCTGCAAGTGGCTGCAGCATGGGGCACCGGCCACAGGGCAGGGGAGGGGCAGCTTTCCTCCATGCCAGGAAGCAGCCCAGGGAAAAGCGAACCCTCCCCCATCCTGTGGCTGGCGCACCCTGCTGCATCCGCTTGCATCCCACGAGGCTGTCCAGAGCAGGCACAGGCAGCCCTGTGAGGGCTGAGAGTGGCTGCAGCGCCGGCCACGGGGTGGGTGAGGGGCTGCTTTTTCCCCCTGCCCACGCTCCACTTTGTCCCCGGGGCACTTTTCCACAGGTTCCTCCCCTGCCCTTCCCCCTTATGGCCCCAGGCCAGAAGCCCCAGCTGGGGCTTTCAGGTGGGGGGGCCCTGCTGTTATGGGAGCCTTCTGAGCTTCCCTTGGTTCCTGTCATTTTTGACAGGAACCAAGGGCAGATGAATATTTAATTTTCTAAATTTTTTAGGGCCCCTCAGGTCAGATAGAATGGCCTCGCAGGCTGGATCCGGGCCACAGACCATACTTTGCCCACCCCTGGGCTAGAAGATGATGTTGGGTTTGACTGGACTTCATAGATATGGCCTAGAGCAATGGTTTTCTACTTGTCTAAGGGGTCCATGAAAGACTACTATGCTCAATCAAACATGTGAATACCCACACTTACCATTTAAAGAGGTCTGTAACTCCTTTCCATTTTCCAAAAGGATGTGCAAAAGGTTGAACCCCACTAGAACCTTTTGGGGTCTTTAAGAAGTGGCTTGATGCCTACCTGGCTGGGGTCAATTGAGCCCAGTTTCCCTCTTGCCCAGGCAGGGGGTTGGACTTGAAGATCTACAAGGTCCCTTCCGACCCTACTTCTGTGATTCTATGAACACCCTTTCTCATTCCAAAGGGATGAGAAGAAGGTTGAAAAGCACTGTCCTAGACCACTGTTCTTCTTTGCATCCCTCGGTCCAGGCTCTGAGCTGTGCGCTTACCTCTTAGTTCATCTTGGGGATGAGGAGGGTTTTGACTCTACCACTGAGCCCATAGATTCTGGGGCTACTTGCCTAATCCTTGTTGCCTGTGAGCTCTTTGGGAAGGGCACTGTTACATCTTAATCTGGAAAGTGCCTGGTGTCTTGTGAGTTCCACCATAGGGGAGAGAGAAAGCACTGCTTTCTCACTGGTAGGGCCCATGACTTCTCTTTTTC